TCCGCAGAGGAGGAGGCCCCTCCACCTAGAGGGTTGTGGGAACCCCCAGGACAGGCACATTATTGTGCCCATTGATCAGACGAGAAAGTCAAGACTCGAGATGAGAGGGACGTGCCCAGACCCAAACAGCTCACAGACCCATTGAGGAAGCGACACAGTGCGTGCTTGGGGGCCTGGGGGACCCGGGGGCCACCTACTGCCCCTTCTGAGCACTGTCCACCCCAAGCACCCCATGAGCCCTCCAGGCACTCATTTAGGTTCCCACCCATCATGTAAAGAAAGAAAAGAGGCCTGTCTGCAGGAAGCACGTAACATTTTCTCAGGAAATTATTGTTCAAATCAGAGGAAGTGTCCCCTGGTGACATCTGTGGCTGTTCCTTTTCTTTCTACATGAAGCTCAGCACCCGGGGACCCCCAGCTGCCCCCCGTGGGCTGCCCTTTACTCCTCATATCCCCCTCCCGCCTGCCTCCCTCTCTCCTTCCTTCCTTCCTAACATCCCTTGTGCCAAGCAGGGTGCCAGGCCCTGAAGCCACAGTGGAGAATGAGATAAACTCCACCCTTTTCCTCTCTGACTTTAAAATGCCCGGTGCAGACCAATGACAGACAAGCCTGGCTGGGCCCTCATGCTCTGGGCACAGCCACACAAGCGGCAGCGAGGTGGTTGTCCTCCCTGTCACTCCCACCACCACGCTGGGCCATTGCCGCACGGAACACTCGGAATCACGGAGATTCAGAGCAGGCGAGCTGCCCAGGCGAGCTGCACAGGCGAGTTGCCCGGGTGAGCTGCACAGGTGAGCTGCCCAGGCGAGCTGCCCAGGTGAGCTGCCCAGGTGAGCTGTACAGGTGGCCACACCCAGGTGAGCTGCCCAGGTGAGCTGCCCAGGTGAGCTGCACAGGCGAGCTGCACAGGCGAGCTGCCCAGGTGAGCTGCCCAGGTGAGCTGCCCAGGCGAGCTGCACAGGTGAGCTGCCCAGGCGAGCTGCACAGGTGGCCACACCCAGGTGAGCTGCACAGGCGCGCTGCCTCGGCTCTGATCCCTGCTCCAACAGGCTCACGGTCTCAGCTGTGCCCAAAGCATCCCCTTGTCCTCAGGTTTCCTGCCAGGAAGCCCTGGGGCCGCGGGAGGCCCTCAGCCCTTGTGAACCGCTGTCAAACATTAGCCATCACTAGGTGGCTGCCAAGATCCTGCACATGAGTTATTTTCACGGGCGAACCTGGTGATGGGGCCGCGTTTGTGCAAGGAAACCAGCTCTTTCTGACAGCAGCACGGCACAGCAGACAGGCAGGCAGCCCCTTGGATCCCGCTCCGCTCTGAGGGGTGAGTGCGTCCTGTGGGCTTTGGCCAGCTTCGGGGTCACCTCCTCCATGAAGCCCTGCTGGTCCCCACACAGGTGGGCCTCACCCTGGGGCAGGCTCCCGCCACCTGGTGATTAAAGCTCCCTGGGGACTCCCGCGGGTCTCCAGGTTGAGAACCACTGGCTGGACGGGAGGCTAACACACGTCTCCCGCAGGCCAGGCCCAGCCACCACCTGCTGTCAAGGAGCCTGGACTAAATACACGCCCACTTGTTCCGTGGTGCCTGCAGCTGCCTGGGACTGAGGGCAGCTGAGAGCTGAGACAGAGACCATGTGGCCCCCAGAGCCTCGCATACTTACCATCGAGACCTTTGTAGAAAAAGTTTGCCAACTCCTGGATTAGGCAGGCAGTCCACCCGTATTCCTACCATCCGCTCGTTTAGCCTTCGCACGCTCAGTTGTCATTCCTTGTGCGTGTGCAACAGGCACGAACTCCTCAAGGGCAGGGACCCTGAGTCGTGTCCCCACAGGCAGCACCAGGCCTGGCCCACAGCAGCTGCTCACTCATTGGCAAGTGTCCTTCGATGTGTCAACTGTTGAGCTCTGGGGTATCTTAGCAACAAGGTTTGGGTGGCCAGGGAGAGCAGGGGCCATGCCGGCGGGCCTGGTTCTTGCCTGAAACATCAACGCCTTTGCTCACCGGCCCACCCCCCAGGTGGAGGCTCTCAGCAGGCCCCAGGAGGTGCCCAGCATGAGGCGGGAGGGAGATGAGGCCCTGAGAACTGGGAGCCTAGAAGGGTTCAAGGTTAAGGCTGTGAAACTCAGGCAGCTATAGCGGGGCTGGCGTCTGCTGACTCACAGGCAGGCGGCGCCGGGAGGAGGATGGGCTCGGGGACCTGTCCAGCTGCTGGAGTCCAGCACAGCCCCCTGACTGGTGGCCCCCCAGCCGAGCACCTCTGCGGACGGGACTCAGCACCTTGCGGGGTGCACAGGCAGCATGGCTCAGAAGAGGGAAAACACCTAAACGTTCATCGATAGGGTATTGAATATTATTATCTTCACAAACAACTATCAGGAAAGAGATGAGTGAGATTTACATGTACTGATATAGAAAGAGGTTGGAAACTCATAGGTAAGTTTAAAAAAAAATCAGGTTACAAAAAAAGTTGTGTTTAATTTGAGGCTATTAATATAAGTATTAATTCTGAGAAGCACTGCTACACGGAGGTGTAATTACAGGACTCTGCTCTCTTGATGCGGTTGGAGGTTTTTTTAAGAAACCTGTGCTATCGGGAAAGTAGCAAAGATGATTCAGTGAAAGACAGAGAAGGGACCA